GTGCGTGCGTGCGTGCGTGCGTGCTAACATCGCTTGTAGTCAGGTAGACCGACAGGCAAACAACTTCTCATCGGTACATGGGTGCTTTTAGGCATGAGCAGCTCGGAGCGCATTGAGAACACAGTCATCCTATAGCATCGATTATCGTAACCCTTGCAGTACAGCAAGCCTCATAAGACACATTGATTGAAGACTATCTGGCACCATATCAGGGATCCGAAGCAGATATACATCATGACAAACTTCAACTGCGTATTGGTGACATGGATCGGGTTTACAGGCGCGCCGTGAGCTGACATAACACAAGAGAGTACGCCCAAACTGGGTTTACGGCTTAGGGCTCAGGGGTTTGGGATTTAGGGTTTAGGGCCGTTTAGGGTTTACCTAACCTTTGATCCTAGGCAAATGACAACTTGCGACAGCTGGTCAAAGCGCTTCGACACCCAGCGAGCTTCAGCTACATCTTCACATGATAAAGCTGTACAGATAGCGCAACTCCCTTACGACTCTCTCGAAGACAGCGCTCGAGCCATCAAGGTAAAGGTCTGTTCAATGCATGATGTGCCGCTTACACAGTCTGCATCGATCTTCGATCAGCTGTTACGACCCTGAAGAGACGAGAAGCGACGCCTAGTGACCTAGTGATGCAAGGGACCAGTAGGAAGTCAAGGGCCCACGGATTGCAAGGCCCTCGAGACAAACGAAAGTCAGATTTGCCGGCACTCGGTGTTCTGAGCTCAAGCCTTCATACATGTAGTCTGCCCAGTGCAGCTGAGAAACCATGGACCGGGGCCCTCATACGGGCAGTAGCCTCGTCTTGGGAACGTCGCAATACAGAAAGATAATGACCCCCCCCAAAAAAATCGAAACGTACAATTGTAAACGTATGCATGTGTATTTAGGACTATGACCTCGGCTGGAGTGCCTGTCTCATACATGCTCACATGGGTCTATGTACGCCGCCGCCAGCCACCGCACTGCAATCCCAGTGGCAGTCAGGATCCTTGGATACAGGAGCCTCCTCTAGAATGGCCACTCCACCACCCAGGATATTGCCCATAGCTCGGCTACGTCGAGCAAGCTTCTTCCCCGGGCGGCCCTTGGTGATGAGCCAAAATGGTCTTCACGCATGTAGCTCACCCAAAAGGAAGGCTGGGCTACACTTATACCTTGGATGCCTGTTGCATGCATGTGGTCAGCTTGGTCATGACATCCGCAAACCAGCTTTGTTGAATAGCCAGACCAGGATAGCGCTAGCCATGAGCAATGCTACTGATGGTACTGTCGCTATCCACTTGTAGCATCTTCACCTGTTCTATGCTGAGCAAACTGGTCTGTCGGCACCTTATTACCACTATGTCCAGACATGCCGCTTTCAAAGGCAACTTGTCTGTCCCCGGATTTTCCTCATTCAGCAAAATAGGTCTGGGCGGCTTCGTCAGTTGGGGGCGCACTTGGCAAGTCACCAGCCGACAATCTGCCAAACTACACACACGTACACACATACAGACACACATACAGACAAACAGACAGATAGACAGTATGTATGTATAATACGTATATTACATATGCCGGTATATAAATTTTATTCGTGTGTGCCTGGTGCGGTTTAGGCAAAAATTGCTTAGTAAGCAAGTGACCCAAACAGCGACCCCAATCAGCCCAATCTTGAAAACCGTCTCGGTTCATTGTCACGGGGTTTCGGTCGCTCCCCCTCACCAGGCCAATGGACGGCCGAGACTCTGAAAACAAGCGAAGGCACAGACTGCTACGCCCCCAGGATATCTCAAAGCTGCCCACAACATCCTACGCGCTTTAGTCGTAACTTTGGGGTGCTCTTTGAGCCGGCAGGAGGAAAGAAGGCCGGGTCAGCTTCATTGCACTTGGGGCTGCGAGGCTTCGAGTCTCGGGCTTCTGGTCGAGGGCGCAAGTCCGAAGTCTAACGTAGGGGCCTTAATTCTTAGAATACGGTTTTGGGGCCCATTCTAGTATAGTTAGAATAAGGAAGCCCCAAAATAGTATAGGTAATTATTGAGGCCCCTATCTTAGGGCTGGCAGGATCTATGGACAGACCTTGAGTGCCTGAAGGCGATGCAATGCCGAGTGCTGTACTTTACAGATCGGAAATCCGGATGCCGGTCCAAATGCCGGGGGAGTTCCAATCCCTGCAAGAAACATCTGCTGCAAGACTGGCTCACGGAACGAGGTCCTGATCGCTTTGCCTCTTGCGATGGCCGAAAGTATCCGAAAGTCGATGATGCTAAGCAGTTGCTCTCCCCGATCTCGGTCGTGTGCCAGGCTACAGCTGACATGTTTGTTGTTGGGTCCCAGTGCCGACACCTTTCGAGCCTCAAAGGTCCATCAAGGTGGGATACAAGGAGGATTCCCTCGCCTGGGGCTGCTGAGCTTAAGGGCCTCGTAGTATCTCTAGGAGATGGGCGAAGAAGGAGTCGCCCTCGACCCTAAACCATAATTCTGCAGAAGCAGTTTCGTAACCCCTAGAATGACACCTAAAATTAACCCGTATCGTAGCCCATATGGCAAACTCACCCTCACGGTACCGTTTATGTTATCCTTAAGTTTTCCAAAACTTTGATGGCAAATCTCAAGAGCTCGCGGTCCCACGGCACTTTAGCTGAGCGCTGACCCCAAGGACGCAAGACTCCCTGATTAAGTTGCAAGTCAGGGTTTAGGGTCGAGACGTAGGGTTTAGCTTAGTTTAGGTTCAGGTCGATGGCACGGAAAGCGTATGGAGATGTATCTGGTCCGCTTGAATTGCACTCACCCGAGAGCCGGGATTATGAAGCAAGCTATCACCGCCTAAACCCCGAAACCCTAAGCCCCTAAACCCCATTGGTTAGCAACTTTACGAGTAAAAATCATAGAGACGTTAGTAATAATCTAGTAAGTAGCAGTATTCATAACAATGGCAACTGCTGAAATCCGATGCCTTGATCCTGGAAGCTCCTGGGCTCTTCAATGATACTATAATCTACTAAGAGTCAGTAGAACTTACTTCAATAATTATGCCATAACATACTGTAATTAATACACTGGAACATGCTTCAATAGACTATAAGAAATTTATACTACTATGACATGTTTAATACTGAACAGTTCCAGAGGATGCCAAACGATAGGCCTGGAGGATCGTCTCTAGGCCTGGTATCGCACGTACGTCTCCTTTGAAGCGTACATTTGCTCAACTTGCTTGGCAAAGGCCTTCTCCACGATGGGTCTCTTGAGCTTCCTGGCTACGGATTTATTTTGCTGGAAGTTTGTTTGGGGCTTTGAGAAGTCTGAGGCCAGGGGTTTTGGGCAGGGATCATCTTGCTACTTCTTGTTGCTCCGATCCCGACAACGATTGAACTGCCTCCTGTGCCAATATATTGGGAACATTCCCCGTCGCTTGACACCAATCAGACATACGAGTCCCAGCACCAACATGTCCCCGGCAGCATCTGGCGGGTGAGCTGTGATTTTTCTTGGGGTTTCTTCGCCGCGGCACTTCGTCGGTGTCAGATGACCCTGCTCTTCGGAGAAGTTGGTCGGCAAGATCATGAACCTTGCATCTGAAGGCGTCGAGATGCTGACCCGACGGATTTGATACAAAGCTCAGTCGGCATGATTTGAGAAGCAATGCAGCTATCGCTGCGGAAGCCATACAAGTGGCACACCCTGCCCCCTCCCCCCCCACACATCCCCCTGGCATGGAGCTTCTGCACTTTGAAGGCGTTGTTCGGGCAGATCTTGCCTGAGAAGAGTGTGGGGAACAGCACCGGAACGCAGGGGAATGGCACCAGATGAACAGCTACGAGTACTATGGGCTTCTGGGTTTCTTTAGCACTATGGATGGTGTGGAATTGAGAGCATGAGGAACAAATACACCTGTAACACGGGCTTCCAAGTACTCCTGTCTCGATGTCTATAGAACAGAACAGAACAGAACAGAACAAGCAACAACGACAATTGCCATCCACTCTGTTAAACAAACTGAAAAACGTGTGCATCTTGTATACGTGTGTCCATTGCTAAGCTATTCTGGGATCCGTGGAAGCGAAATTTGGATCCTGGCCCGTCCTTGCTGCAGATACGAAATCTGGTACCCTTGTGATAAAGCTCACAGTGGAACTGAGTTTACTTGCGATAGAGTCTTGGCGATGAGTGCCAAACGATCCAACTATCGTGTGCCTGACGTCTTCAATTATGCCATGCTAAATGAATCGTCACGTGCCACCTCCCGATCGCAATGGATTTAGTTACCTCAGCCATATTCTGTCGTAAACAACCAGGACGGCCCAAACGACCCCAGATCTACTATTGGAAAATTATGCTGCGCGCTATCTTGTAGCATGACATGCTCATGCTGGACTATTTGATGCTGTGCTCCAAGATGCCGTCGCTGTTGGCGGACGTCACGGCTTTGGTGACCGTCTCTATCCAGGTCTGCATTGTGCAGGGATGCTTGGCTGGCCTTACCTTCACGAAGAACTTTTCAAAACAGTGCGACGCCAAGGGTTATCGACACGCCAGCTTCGTCGTCAGGAACAACACCTAACGGCTACCACAACTTCTCTCCCGAAGCTCGACTCGTCATCCTCTCAAAGATCAACCCATCAGACGAACCGTCTACTTGAAACAAGTGCCTGAGCAAATGCTGCAGCCAGACAAGCCTTGTCATCCAGCGCGGCACTGATGGTCTTCACTGCCGGGTTCCTTGATAGGACACCCCAGACCCTTGAGCTCGAACATGCTCGAACCAAGAGCAGCAGCTAACAGGTGTCGGTGCGAAGGGGTGGATACCAGTACAAGGCTGGTCGAGTTGCAGTGCTTCCGCAGTTCGGATATGCTGAGGTAGGTTTCAGGCTGCGACTGTTGATTCTGGACATTGCTGATGCAGTGGTTAACTGGCAACTGCCGAAAGCTGTGGCCGACACAGCCAAGCAGACAGCCTTGAAAGAGCATAACGAAGCACACTGTGCCTTGCTGGTTCAATGGCACTTCTTATGCTGAATGCACGGCACTAAGTGCATTTAGATGTGTTTCTTTTCTACAACCGGGGCTCTCCGACCTCACTAGATTCTTCTCAGTATCACTCGCTTTGCACCGGCATCCAAGTCGTCGGTGCCAGGGACCTCGCCGTTTGCACCAACGGCCTGCAGGCTGGTTCAGCAAACATGCATCAACCATGTTTGCAAAGTAATGTCAACTTTTTAGGGTTTAGGGTTTAGGGTTACATGCTTTGTGGCTGCTGCTACGTCCGCACAGCTGCAAGCAAAGAAGATGAAGACAGCTTGAATCTCTGCTTCAAAACATCGTGGAGAGAACCGCCAATCCCGCATCTAAGAAGCATACTCTACACGGGGGCCTCTAGTCCAAACAGTGAGCATGCATACATACATGCACACGTAGATACATCGATAGATCGATACACGCGCATGTAGGGAATAGATACATAGGTCCGTAGATTCGTAGATGCACAGGTTCACAGGTGCATAGCTCGGTAGATACAGAGATCTGTGTATATACAAACACATACATATGTCTTAATATTTTGTACACACGGTAACAGGCATTCGCAAATCACCTCTACAACATCAGCATCTGGCCTGTCCTCCCCTGAAAGATAAAGCCAGCAAATCCCTTCAAGAAGTTGAGCAACAAGTGTCCGTCCTTCAGTGTGATGAGTGCCACGTTGAACTTCCGCTTGTCACCGATCATCATGACCTACCCGATGGCTTTGGGGAGATACCTTTCGATTTTTTTCCTCACACTCGTTGCAGATGATGACGATAATCACCGCTGACCACTCACGACAGCGACTTTACTGGAAAAGACCATCCTTCACTAAGGAAACCAATCCAGCCTGCACCTCTTGGTCCCCTTTTCGGGCTCTACTGTACGAGCACATACCACGAAACATCCCATGCTATCATGCAAGCATTTGGCACCTCGTTGATGCCATCGCACGCAGCCTTGATGTGGTCCTCGTCGCGAGGACAAGGCGCAGTGGTAGAACTAGAACTCTCATCCTCATAACCGTCGAAATCATTCCCGTGC